TATCAAATCTCACAGGGACGCAGTTCACTGATGCTGATGAGGCAGCCAAAACAGACCCCAGCTCCTCCACTAATGAAGGCCGCTGCCTGCCTGCGCAGTAAGGGAGCCCAAGCACATAATAAACGGGCACATCCTCTGGGAGGAGCCACTGCCCAGGCCCTGAGCTCCAGGGACCTGGTAGGGGGTCTGCATCAAGGCCACCAGGCTCCAGCTGCCGTGGAGACTCCTACCCCAGGGACCATCCCCTTCACTGGAGAACTAACCAGGCAGCTTCGGGAGCCTGGGCAGGTGGGCAGTGTTAGGGCCCTGAGCAACTCCCCCCACCACCACATGGCACACTTAGGTATGCCCCCATGATCCACTGACTCCATCTGGGGTTCCTTCTTTACTTCTCCCCCAGAATGGCCCAACAAGGGCAAGACTCTGTCTCTCTCTCTCTCACACACACACACACACTCATAGCCCTGTCACTGTCCCTCTGGATTGTCTTATTAGCCAGGGAAGCCAGGCTGAGTCTAGAAAGCTCATCCAGCCACTGATGGCCTAGTCTCCATCTGCCATGGGGGCCATCTGCCCCTGTCAGGGGGTGGGATGGTTTATAACACTACCAGCCAGTAACAGGAGTGGGTGGCACCCCCCAGTCTCCATGTGCCAGATGGACCCTGCATCTTCCCACCTACCACTCCACCTAAAGAGCCCACTCTGAGGGAGGGACACTTGCCCCCGACCTCCTGGGATCAAATTAGCTAGAGATGCGAGATAGGGGCTTCCTCCCTGGCCCCTGCCCACCCTGAGCTGACTGTCCCAGCGCCCTGGCAATCCACTGCTGGCCACTGGAGACCACAGGCTCCAGAGCGAGAGGGCCCCGCAGTCCTCCCCTGCCTTCGAGCAGGAAGGCAAGTGCCGCCACCTCCAGAGGGGCTGCCCCGACACTCTGCTCAGCCTGGCTCCAACCCCCTCCTCTTAACCCCTCCATCTCCGGTCTCTGTGCTGAGCCGCTGAGGAAAGAGGATGGGGAAATTTTCAGTGCTCTCGGGACACGTTGTTTCTGCTGTAGAAGCTGGTTTTTTGGTTTGGAAAGGTTTTTTTTTTCCACCCAGTAATGTGAAAACATGAAACCTGAAACCAACCCCCCACATTTGTCACCTCAGAGAGAAGCCTTTGGGGTAACTGGGAGAAAGCTGTAAATGAGTCAGGCTGATTGGGGGGGGGGGGGGCGGCCCAGCTGCCTCCAGGGCACCACAATTTCATTAACACTTGTGATCTGAGTATGGCCATCAGGTGACAGACGACAGGGGGAAAGGAAAGGGCTTCCTTCCCACCCTCAACCTCAAACACAGCAGTCCCCAGATAAACTCCTCTTGCCTAGAAATAGCTGGGTCCTTGTCTCTGTTCTGGACCAGCCTCTACCACTGCCCCGCCAAAGCAGAGGGCTCAGGACTGTACCACTGCCCCGGCACCAAGCCATTTGCTCCCCTCACATGAGAGAGGAAATGGCCATTGCCATTACTAGGGCCATCCAGTGAAGCAGACAAGACTGGACAGAGAGAACTAGGTACAAACTGGTTAGGAGAGAGACAGATGAGACAGCACTTCCCAATGTGATGATGATGGATCCAGGAATAAGGAACAAGGAGATTCCTTACAGGGAGTCTGAAGAAGCAGGAGGGATGTTTTCCCTCTGACCAGAGCAGTTTAGGAGAGGAGAACAAGCAGAAGCAGGACCTGGGCAGCCACTTGAGCCTCCTACCTCTAAGCGGACTTGAGAAAGGCTACCCTGCCCCTGGTAGTAGTTTCATAGCTTCGCTCTGAACCTTCCCTGCACTTTCTGCTGAGACAGACCCATGGAGGTGGGTGAGAGCCCTGCCAGCCGGGAGCCCCCGTGACCTGGCTGGCAAGAGAGAGTGCCCCCTCTGACCTCAGAAGGCAGCTGTACAAGTCCAAGAAACCCGAACTCGGTATTTCAGGTCCACCCCCAATTCTTCCACTCACCTGAGGCTCTGGGCCAGGATTCCCACCCAAGCTTCGGCCCGCCCTTCCCTAACACCCTGTGCGTGAGGCTCTGTGAACTGATGTGCTGGGAGAGCTTGAGAGAGGGCGGCCAGAACCATACACCCACTTGCCTCACTCTTTCAAGTCCCAACAGGCCCTGGCCTCACCGGCCTCCACAGGTAGGCAGAGTGAGTCTGCGTCTGCTGGCTGCCTTCCCCAGAGGGTGCGCAGCTCTAATTGTTCACTGTCCCACAACCAGCATGGGGAGAGACAGCAGGCTATAAACACTCGAAACTGTACGTGGGGAGCCCCCTACCACGTCCACCTTCTGGACACCCTGGGACTCCAAGACATGCTTCCTCCATGGTCTCCACTAGAAATGTGAGGGGAAAGCCCCTTCCTGCACAGTCCTTGTCTCAGGGCCACTAATCTCAAGCTGGGCGAGTGGAGATGAGGAAAGTCATTTTTCACAAGAGCTCTCCCCTATGCATTAAATCCAATAGACAAATACCTGCTAAGCACCTACGGAGTACAGGATGCTTTCAGCAGAAGCAAAGTGTGCTAGGCAGGTGGACACCAGCACCCTGAGAACCAACCCCAGTGAAGGGGCAGCAGCTCCACCTACTGGGCCCTTTCCCACCCTGTTGCCAGAAATCAGTTCCCTTTGGAGTCACAAGATTTTATTCAAGAATAAAGCTAGGGCTTGACACTCGCCTGCTTCCATCAGAAGGGCCCTAAGAGGTGGCAAAGGACTATGACTGAACCGGGCTGGTTGGTTCTCTGCTGGAGAGACCTGGGGGATCCACGTCGTCCACGTAGCTGCTGCTTTAGGGTATTGCTTTGTACAGGAGACCTGAACCACATGAGTTCTGACTCAGAGAAACGCTCCACCTCCATAGGCTGCCCGCATTCCCCTGGCACAGCCAGAGCAGGCTGCCACCAAGAGCCCTAACCACCTGCGGGGCATGGAGGGGTGGATCATAAGGAAGCAATAGTCTGTCCCCTTCCCAAGCAATGAGCCAGGAGCCTGAGGCCCCACTGAGCACCAAAGCTTCAAAGACCTGGCCTATTTTCGGGACCCATGAGGCTGGAGCCTCTGTCTTGGGTTAATCACAAGGGGCAGCCAATCTCTTCCCTTAGAAACCTTGGGCCTCAGAGACAGCCCTCAGTTTAACAGCAATTCAAGACCCCTAGCTGTATCCCCTCATAGTTCTGATTACCTCCAGCCTGGAATTCCAAGAGGATGGTCTTTCCTGCTCCATGTGGCCTGGCCTGTGCAGAAGCCTCTTCAAGCATCACTGTGTACCTAGATATCATGTGAGGACTCGTGTGGGTATCATCTGTGTACGTGAAACCCTGGTGGCGTGCTCGTGGGTATTCTCTGAGTATGTGAAACCCTGGTGGCGTGTTCATGGCTATCATCTGTGTAAATGAAACCCTGGTTGTGTGCTCATGGGTATCATCTGTGTACATGAAATGCTGGTGGTATGTTTGTGGTTATCATCTGTCTATGTGAAACCCTGGTGGTGTGCTCGTGTACCAGAGGGTATCTGGATGTGCACGCGCCTGTGTTTGTGAGGGCTGAGGGGTACGTGCCGTGTGCATCTATTGATGTGAGAGCCCGTGAAGTGTATGCACCTTTGTGTGAGCGTGTGCTTCAGGAGAAGACATTTAGGTATACTCCTCATGCTCCTCCCACCTTCCTACCCAGCAGGGGCAAGGGAGAGAATCAGAGGAGCAGTATCGGCTGTTCTGTCCCTGAAACAGACTGCTGCTTGATCTGTTCATTCGTCTGTCCAACACCCACATGACAAGTCCCTTCTCTGGCTCGGGACTCAAGTCCCCAGACGCCTATGTCATAAGACTATCAACATCTACTCAGCTCAGCCCCTCCTCAGAAGGGAATTCACACAGACTGGGAAGCACTTCCTTCCTGAAGGAAAAACTGCTGGCTTCTATTCCTCTGGCCTTTCTTCCTATTTTCCAGGACCCCCAGATCTGAATCCCACAGGGTACACCCTGAGGGTGAGGAGTATATCTAAGGCTTTCACTTCAGGCTTTGTACAGGAACCTAGCAGTCATGGGAACTTATTAAATTTTAATGACTTTTTTTTTTGATCTTTAAAATCCATGCACAGCTGTTCCCCCTCTAGGGGTGAGGTGTCAGCAAGCCTCCCAGAAACCTGCTCCTCCCACATTTGCTCTAGGCATGCTCAGTCCTGTCCCGACTGGGCTCAGCCTATCCCTATATGGGCAGGTAAGGGAAGGGCGAGACTCTGGGAAGAGAAGGAAGCCGCTGCACACACTCTGAGGTCTGTATCTCCGGGGTGAAGGCCTGTACCAAGCCTGGGAATAGCCCTGGAATCAGGAGTCGGCCAGGAGCACAGAGGGCAAGAACAGACAGCCAGGTCTGTTCTGATTTGAGTTTCATCAATAAATAGGTGCCCCTGTGGGTTCCTAGTTCTAAAGGTTTCTATCTGCAGCTGTAACGTGGAAAAGAAAAAAATTCCTCCTTGGCTACCTTATGAAACCACCTGAATATCCAATAAAGAAAGAATGGATGAGGGTAAAATCAGTCTATCCACTGGAAGAAACACTATGCAAACATTAAAAGCAATATTTATTTTAATTTTTACTATGAGCATATATTACTTTTTAAAAATTTAATGATGTAACAAAATGGAAAAGAGCTAACGATTTAATAGTAAGTGAAAAAAGTAGGCTATGAAATTGTTTACTATAATTACAACTACAAAACACAAAAACCAGTGCACACCTTCACGAAATGGAGGAAGGGAACCAGAATGCTCACAGTAGCTGTTCACCTCCCCTGCCCTAGCTCCTAGCAGTGTAAGTACGTGATCATTATTTGTTGTTCTTGAATAAGTACTGGGACTAGCGATGAACTCGTTTATTTTCCAAATTTGCTGTAATGAGATTATATAACTTTCATAATGAAAAAAATGTAAGTATATACAAAAAAGACCGATTTCACAACCCAAAAACAGTAAGACGGGGGAAGGGGCTTCAACGTTGTTCATATCAAATGTCAGAGCCACAAAAAATTTTGGTTACAAACAGGAAAACCAGGTCATCTAGACTAACGGAATTTGAAGTTACTGGGGAAAAAAACAGAATTCTTTTCCGTGCGGAATGACAAGGCTTATCTGTAACACTTCAACGTTTTCGACGACTCTGAAATTTGTAAATAGCTGGGGAGTTCACTGTTTCTTTCTTCACCTTTACCTTCCGAGTTTTATCCTAAAAAAGAGTAAAAAGGTTACCAGTAAAGAGTAAGAGAGGGTTTTTAAAATAGGAAGGTTAATCAACTACCTTTCTGAAAGCCCCAAATTCAGCCCCTCCCGAAGTTCACAAGAGGCAAAGCCTCACTCTAAGGCATCCCCGATGCAATGAATCCACTTCTCCCTGAGCATCTATAATGGTCCTCGCTGTGGAGAAGTTCTTGGGAAAACTGAGAAAAGTATTCAAATCATTTTTTGTAGGGCTTATTCTCTCATGGAACCCCAGTTGAGAAGGGCAGACCTAAATGATCTGCAAAGCTGAAGAATTTGACATTTAGAAGAATGATAATAATATGAAGGGGGCATCTTATATTCCTTAGCTCTGCTATTTAACTACACGATGTTGTCTATTTTTAAACACCAATGAGTGACACACACTGTTTTGTTAACCTCTTTAAATGTTACAGATAGCTGCTCATAAGCTATAAAGTTCATATGCTACCCAATCCTACCCTTTGCTGTTCCAAAGCACTGACTAATAAGCCCCTTATTAGCTTCTTAATCAAGGAACATCTCAACACTGTCAGGGTAACAGACACTGGCTCAAACCACTGCCCCTGAGGAGCAGACATTTTCACAGGGGTTGATTTACACACATGAAATCCAGGCTCAGTTAAGACCTTTACAAGGAAGGAAAAAAAAAAAAACGAAAGCCTACGGCTCTCTCTCCTCACCAGAAGATCTTTGCGTGTTTGAATTTTCTGTGCAATAACGAACAATTTCTTCTCGCGCTCAATCCGCTGTGTCAGGCAGTTATACTGCTTCTGCCTCTCTTTAGCTATCCGCTGCAGAAAAAACACACGCATTTTCAATAAAACAATTAACAGGATAAAAACAAATAAGAAACTGTTTCTTAATCCACTTATGCCCAGATGCATAACTGGTTTCATCAATTCCCTCCTTACTCCAGAATCAACGTAACGAGACATTATAAAGTTGTCCATTTTAGGAACATCACATCCTAGAGCCGAACGGAAGCTTGGAGACTTGCCCAGGGACACCCGGTTCACCTGGAGCAGAGTCAGGACTGTCCCGAGAGTCTCACAGATCCCAGGAATCTTTCCACTACTACATTAAGCTGCTTCAACCTTTGTGTGAGCGTCCCGGTTACCTAAGGTGATGCAGGAATGACCCAGTACTGGAAACCCTACACAAAGCGGGTAAAGAAGAATAGAAGGGCCCCCCTGCCATGTGCTGGTGTCTGAGAACTGCAGAACTCAAGAGAGCAGGACTCTTCCAGCAGAAGCTGACCAGAGAATTCTCACTGCTGATGACTCCTTAAGACCAGTGGTCCTTAAACTATGGGGAATCATAAACCTCTGAGACATTGATAAAAACTTTGAATTCTTTCTTGAAATAAACATACATATGCGTTTGTACAAATTTGTACATACATATATATCCATTTTCACAAAATTTCAGCGTGGGAAGAGGGTGTCCACAGACTTCCTAAAGCCCATTCATGGATTGCCCCCCACCCCACCAAGTTACACACTAAAAATTCCCTTGCAATCCACCCATCAGCAGTCTCTTAATAAAAATAACTTTGCTTTAAACAAAATAATCGAAAGTAACAACACTACTAGACAAAAATGGCAAGATCCCAACCCTCCCATCTTTTCAAAAGGTGTGTTGGTGAACTATTCTACACAGGAGTTTGGAACACCCATCTCTTTAGGGACTACCACAATACCTGAGAAGTGCCAGTGACACAGCTAATTGAAAACACAACTAACTGACAAACAGGGCTATCACAAGAACACTCGTCATCCGGCTCCTCAGCTGGAAGTGTTATCTACATAGAGGGGAATATTACTGGGCCTCAGACTGAAACAATTCCCCACTTCTAGCACAGTCTCACAGCCGTGGCTTCAGACAGCTTTTGTTTTCACTTTATTGCACAGACTGTCAAATTTATGGGATTACCCAATATAGTCAAACTAATTAGGGGTATTTATATTACTAAAGCAAGTTTAGCTGCCTCTGAGCTAGAGAAACTGCTGTGAAATTAAACATTGGAAGCAAAGCTGATGCGGTGTAAATGATTCAAATCAAAACAGAACAGCTGTCTGCTTGAAACACATTGACAGCATTTTTTTAAATGAATCAGTCAGAAGTGAGAGTTCAACTCCAGAAGGCTTTGAGAAAAAGCATGTCTTCTGCACAAACCCAGTTACAGTAATGGAAAGCACCATAAGGAAAAGACAATACGAAATTTAGGGTACAAATGCACAATATGAAAGACTTTTTGATATCAAAGGATACCACATCCCTTCATCTTCAGGGTCCCCTCTTTTCTCTGCATTTTAAAACTGCTGGCATCCCTTCAAGCACTGAACGCACAAAGCCCAGGGTCAGAGCTGGGATTCAAAGGCAGATGTAAAGGCCAGCACCTCAGCTCCTGACCACTGTGCCACACAGCCTCCAATGTGAGAAACCAAGGAACCCTCCTCCACTTCCATCCCTATCGTCAAAGCCTCCTTCCACTTTTCTAAGAGAACTTAAAAGAGTTTTCCACAAAGAATCACATTAAATACAGAGGCCAAAAAAAGGAAGCTCGATGCCCCTAAACTCAGACCTGAAGAAAAACGGAGAAAATTACCTTAAGTCGAGTCTGATGCGTAACTCCTTTCACTTTCTCCTTCTGCAAGGTCTCTATTCTGGGTCTATTAAAGACTCTGTCGACTAGTTCCGGGGCTGTTCGCAGGTGAGTTGCAATATCAAACTGTTCAACTAAAAGTCAAGACAATCCTTAAGGCACTGTCTGTCTCTAACACCAAACAACAGAGACCAATATGCTGGACTGTCCCAGAAACCTTCAAACATTTCATACCTTCCTTTTTGGTGTCAAAAAAGAACACATGCTTATTCTGTTGCTTCCCCTGGAAATCCAGCAGATGGAGCTCTGATTTTAGTCTTTCAATTTTCTAGAATACAGAACATGGTCTCATTTTATATTGAGTTCTTCTAGGTTATCAGAAATAAATGTGCAGAAGTGTAAACTATTTCACATCATTATCACCAGCCAGCAAAGAATTTGTTTCATTCTTTTAAAGGAAAGGACCACTAAAATTAATCGAGCACCAACCACACATCAGGTACTGGGCTAGGCGTTCTGCAAAGCTCAATCCTTACAACAATCCTTTGACACAGAAATGAGGAAACGGCCTCAGGGAAGTTAATTTGTCCATAACCATGGGGCTAATAATGGCAGAGCCAGAATTCAAAGTCTGTCTCATTCCCAAACTTGAACTCTTTCCACTCTACCATGCTGACTATAATTCTAAATCATTATCACAATTAAGCATATTTTAATGGGTCGGCCCCGTGGCTTAGCGGTTAAGTGCGCGCACTCCGCTGCTGGCGGCCTAGGGTTCGGATCCCAGGCGCACACGGACGCACCGCTTCTCCAGCCATGCTGAGGCCGCGTCCCACACACAGCAACTAGAAGGATGTGCAGCTATGACATACAACTATCTACTGGGGCTTTGGGGGAAAAATAAATAAATAAAACAAATCTTTAAAAAAAAAAAAGCATATTTTAAGACTGTAAATGCCAAAAGAAATCTATTTATAACTTGAAATTGGGGATTTATATTTCTCTTCTTAACCAACACAAACACATGAGCACAAAGAATTTCAGTCGTTACCTTAGCTTCTGCCAGCCTTTTCATTTCTATGTATTTGACATCCTGAGTTCTCATCAGTTTCAGCTGTTCCGGAGTTACCTCTTCCTTAGTCTCCTTAATAACATGAACTCCATCCTAAAATCCAAATTTAAAAGATACATTCCCTGTTAGATTAAAATTATTAGTAAGCTGATGGCATAGTTTGTGGATGGAACAAAGACAACGAAATGCCATAGGCAACAGCAATCCAACGCACTAGGCCCCCAAGGTGCATGTTCAGTCTAGCAGCTCCAGGCATAAAGACAACTCAGACTCGGGGGCAGAAAGCCATGCTGCTCATGAAGGGGCCGTTTTGCCTTCGATACTGACCGAGAGCACCTGGACCAAGCAGAGAAGGGCTAAATAAAGCCCAAGGATCCGCTCTCTCCATCTCCTCTCCGATCCTCATTTTCCTTCCTGAGCTGGAACTCAAAACACCAACTGATCCATTAGGCACCCACCTGGAGTTTAACCCGGGTCATTTTATAGTAGAATTCATCTGGATTTTTTTCAAGAGCCTTCTTCCGGAGAGTTCTGAGGTATTCTTGCTTTTTCCGGTAGTCACTAAAAAGGAGGTGAAACAAGGTGCATAGCAAAAAAGAAAAAAAAAATCTCACGACGAGCCAACTTCACAAGCATTTAGAGTTCACAAAAAACGAAACTCAGACAAGCTGAAGCAATGACTAGATGTGCTCCCGTCACTGATGTGGAGCCCCTGTCTCTGCAGGCCCTCTCCTATCCCAAACCCACCTGAAAGTAACTGTCCCTATCTCATGTTTTAGTGCCATGTATATCATTACAGGAAGAGACCAAACAAAGCACAATTAAAACTCCTTAGACAGGCTTCTGATGCAAGCGTGGGCACCAAGTGACCACGTAAGATTCAGAAACTACACAGTGCAGTGTAGCATAGTGACTAGAATCGTGGACTCCGGAGTCGGACTGTCTGGGTCCAAACCTTGACTCTGCCACTTCTGGCTGAGTAATCTTGGATAAGTTAGTTAACCACTCTGTATCCCAATTTAATCTGTAAAATGGGTATGATAATAATAGTATCCCAGAAGCTTGTTGGGAGGAATAAATGAGTGTAAAAATTGTAAATCTCCTAGAACACTGCCTGGCCCAATAACAGCACTCAATTATTGTTAGCCTTAAAAACTCTGGGACCCAGAGCAATCCACTTAATCCATCGCCCTCTGTTCCAGAAGCATAAAAAGGACGTCAGCTGACACGCATGGCTAACAAATAATTATAAAGTATTTTGCAAATAAAGTGCTAAAGAAGAAGAATGGGGATAATTGTTTTATACAACGTTTTCAGAGGTCATCATCACCCACGCTCAGTCTCATGAATCCATCTTTCACATCTCTTCATTCCACACCACACACATGGTGATGTAAGAGACTCAACAACAGGAATTCTACATTGTATCGTGCACTTTGAGAAAAGGGAGAGAAAAAAGATCCAGCTTTTGGCTCAAACACCAAGGCAAGGGCAAATCAAAGCCACTGGGAGAAAATGATCTGGAGCAACATAATTAAAAAACTCACAATGCAACTACAGTTACATAAATAACACTCTGTCTAAACAAAGAGAGAAGCTTAGGGTCACAGAAGTGTATGACAGGCTGCCAGAGCTCTGGCCTCTTATCAATGGCAGGAAATTATCCCCTGGTGGACACTCAAGCAATTCAGCTGCAGTGCAGGGAGGTTGTAAGCTTTCTTGGCAGCATTTCTCCCAGAAAGACTGAACTCACTCTGCACGAAGTTTGTAATCTTTCTTTTTCTCCAGCAGGCCCAGATGTTTTCGAAAGCCGGGCTAGAAGACAGAAGAGTAAAAAAAGTGCTTAGTTTCCTCAGCAAACACATACCCAAATCAACATGACACCTGACTTGGGAACAAGAGTCTCTGGAGTGCTCAGCAAATCCGTGTCCTTGGAGCCAACTGGCTACCCTGTTCCCGCCCCTCCCCCAACCGGGCTCTGCCCCCAGAGGATCAGAGGGACCACGCATGCACGCGCCAGGGAGGTCACAAGCGCTGCCATAGTAGGTTTCTTGGCCTATTAAGGACAGAGAGAGGCAACAATGACTCGGCACTAAGCAAGCAGTTGCCAGTTGTACTAAAATTACTACAGACTTAATCCAAGGGTTTATAAAATACTATGGAGGGAAAACATAGTAACAGGGAGGCAACTGTGGTAAGGGAGCTAAATTTAGAGCCTGGGGAACTGGGTTCAAATCCAAGCTTTACCTCTTAACAATCTGTGACCTTGGGCAAGTCACTTAACTTCTCTGAGCCGCTGCTTCCTAACTGTAAAATGAGAATAAGGCACCTACTTGGCATGGTTATCGTGAGGATTAAATGCACCTCTGTAAGTGGTGGTGCCTGCACACAGCTTGGCACATAGCAAGTGGCCAGCATGTGTTTACTGTTATTACTGTACCTTTGGTACAAAGTATGAGAGAAAACCAAGTATGACAGAAAATACTTGCTCTAACACAGAACTCGGATAGCAAGGAAGGTACAGGATTAAATCTTGGTATCATCCTTCTACAAGCTATTGTTTGTTGTGCACTTAATATATGTCAGTGCTAGATGCTTTTGCCTACATCATCATAATAGGCCACACTTTTCAAGCACTTACTCTGTTACAAAGCAATCTGCTATGCTCATTACACCCAATCTCATTTAATCCTCACAACAATCATGGAAAGTAGGTAAAGCAGACACTATCGTTATCCCAATTTTCCAGAAGAGGAATGAGGTTTAGAGAACGACTTGCCCAAGAACATGGAACTAGTAAGTAGCAAAGCCAGAACTAGAACGCATTCTATCTGGGGCCACAGTCTGTGCTCTTCTCCATCCCACTAGACTGCATCCTCTTCTCTGAATAATCTCCATGTTTGAGGAAGTACATATACTTCTCTACTGTTTAAACCTGTATAATAATTTGGATGGGATTTTTAACAGTCATCTTTCTCATCTTATCCTGTGATAAAATGTGATGCAATAAATAACTCAATATTTAAAATAACACCCAAAATCTCTCTGATAATTATTTTAATTATAGCAGACAAAGGGAGGTTGACAGAGAGTGGCGAAAGAAAACTCAAGGGTCCAAAGAGCAACAATACAAGGCAGAAATCTTGAAATCTGTCACATCCATTTGAATGCACATCTGCGTTACAGAAGGAATCCTGGCACTGCATCTGGAATAGTTCACATAATTACACACACCCCCTCCACACAAAATATCTTCAGTAGCTCCCCTGCTGCCTCAGTGAAGGACCTATTGGACAAAGGCCAAACTCTACCCAAAGCAGGAACACTCTTGTTGTTGTGTTTACCCATCTTTCCAGCATGGCCTTCTCCTCACCTCTCCTATGAAGATTCCTACTCAGATATGGCCGTGTCATGCTCACGGCCAGCTCTGAAAGCCCTCTCTCTTCTCTGCTAATCCAAATCAACTACTTACCACTGTCACCTTGGACACAGTATTCAATCTCTTTAAGCATCAGATTCCTCGTTCGTAAAACGAGGATCACGTCCACCTCACAGGGATGCTATAGGATTACATGAGATAATCCTTGCAAAGCATGTAGGGCTGTGCCTAGCATATAGTAAGTACTCAAAACGTGTCAGGTATTATCACTGCCTTCCAAGTCCAGCAAGTTTCACCGTAACACTTTCTCCCATCATCTCTACTCTTCCCACTCAAGTTCCTCATTTGGCATTTTTTACGTGCGATCTCTTATAAAGTTGCCTCGTTATTCATCTTTTAGTAGTCGTGGATTCAAAACGCTTGGTCTGACTCTTGCCTTCCCCACCTGCCAGCTATAGTAGCTGTATGTCCTTGGACAATTTACTTAACCTAACAGTGCCTTAGTTTCCCCATTTGAAAATGTGAGAAAATAATAGCACCCACTTCCACACACTGTTGAAAGTTAAACGAGACATTGAGAGTAAAGCATTTTGCACTTTGGCTCTGGCACACAGTAAGCACTTCTAGCTATTATTACTTTTAGATAGGTCCACACATAGCCTCCCAAATCGGGTGGCAAATTACACTATTGCTCCCAGCACACCACTGAGCACACAGCAAGTGCACAATAAATGTCTGATAAATGCTATGAAGCAGGTAGACTGAACTGTGGTTAAGAGGCCTTAGTTCTATCCCATTCGTCAGTGACACATATTTAGACACATCCTTCTCCCTCTCTTCCCCATCTGTAAAATGAAATTGGACCAGATATCTCTAAGGGCCTTTCCGAATTGGATATGATGGGATTCCTGAGAGCAGCGGAATGGATCAATTGATTCCGCATATCTGAAACGAATTTCTACTCAACTTCCCCACCAGACACATCTTCCATAGAAGTCCTACAACTGTTTATTCTGCCTGGATTTGTTGTTTCTGACTGGGCAAGTCACTTTTGCTCTCTGGACCTCAGTTTACTCATCTGTATAATGGGGACAGAAAACACCAACATTACAGGGTGAGACATAAAAAGGAAGCGTACGTGGTAGATCTTCATGGACTACAAAGCCCACATGCAGTGATGACACCAGCTTAATAACACCAATCTCTGCGCTCACAGCCCCCATACGCAGCAGGCCGAGCTGAGCATCATTAGATGTGGGTTCCAACGCCAGCCGGCGCACTTACTGGCTGTGTGAGCTTTGACCTCACTTCCTTAGAGAAGATCAAGCACTCTACACAATATCTCATGTAATTACATCTCTGAAACCTTGCAACAGAGCTTTGATTATCGCCAAGGAATGGGGAGCAGCCCGTACTCTTCCTAGAAAAACCCCCTCCTCCCCGCGCCGCGAGGCTCCGCCCCAGCGACGCCGGCGTCACTAGCATATATTTGCATTTATTTACATGCAGCATCTACGTAGGAGAGAGACCAGGACCCGAAGGTGGCGAGGGAGTTGGGGCGAGAGCAGTACACGGGGCCCCCGGCCAGCGTTCGTGGGGCCTGTGCGGTCCTACCTGGCTTCGCTCTCGGTGTTCCCGCTGCCGGGACTTAGCTGCCTTCCGAAAAGCCGCCGCCATCTCTGCTCACGGCCGGACAAGCTCAGTAGACAACGCCAGTTCCGCACGGTCTCAGCCGCCGCGTCCACTGATCCTACCGGAAACAGGCCAAGCCGCCAGATGCTTAGAACCGCCCACTTCCTCGCCACAGCCTATCCGGCGCCTACTTCTCCGGAAATACGCCCTCTAGCAAAGGCGGCCACCACCGGCTGCTTCTGGGAAGTGTAGTTCCCTAGGTCTAGTCTCGTGACTTTACAAGAACCGGGTCTTATTCGTCAGAGCTTGCCCACGTATTGAGACCTCGCCCTCGCGCTCGGCTCCGCGTTGGCACCTGGGCACACGTGGCTGGCGCTGCTGTTAGGCTGAGCTGGGGGTTGGTTTGTGCGCATGCGCAGTCACCTACGGCACTGCCCTTGCCGCGTTGACGAGGCGCCTTTAAACCTAAGAGCCATGGGAATTTTACAGTGTACCAGAAAGCACTCTGTGGAGAGGCAAGAGACCTTGAAACCATATCTGGCTCTACCACTTGCTGGCTGTGTGACTTTTGACAGGTCACTTGACTTTCATGCGCATCGTTTTTCTCATCCATAAAAAGAGGATAATAGCATGCACTGCTTGCCTCATAGGGCCATCAAGGGGCCCCACAGTTGAATGGAAGAGTCATATCATGACTTAACATCTGTGAAGTTATAAACTTCTGTCCCTCACACCCTCAAGGGAATGGCTGACTGACAGACTGAGTGTCAGAGACAGTATAATGTAATGATTAGGACCAAGAAACATGGAGGTGTGTTACCATCCTAACTGCTACCAGCCAAGGCAGTGAGCTTTGCTGAGCCTCGGTCTCCCCGTCTGTAAAATGGAGGTAATGATAATACTATACCCACAGGATTGTTGTGAGGACTAAATGAAATAATATATTTGAAGTGCCTAATGCTGCGTTCACCCCTTAGCAAGTTCACAATCAATTGGAGCTATTATTTTTTTTATTACTAAACCTACCTCTAAGGATAGAGAGAAGGTTGAGCACAGAAGAGCATTCCAGAGGCATTTGGTTTCTTTTCCACCACGTGAAACTAACCTTCAGCAAGTTCTGCAGTTGCACCCGTTTCTCATGATAGGGCCCACTACTCCAGCTGATGAGCTCTGGGGAAATTCTCTCCTCATTCCCCAGAGGTGCCAGTCCAGGAGACAAGTAGGCACAAAAGTAGCTGAGATCTGCCATGTGAAAAGTTTTTTCCAGGGGCCGGCCCCGTGGCTTGGTTGGGTGCGTGCGCTCCGCTGCTGGCGGCCCGGGTTCAGATCCCGGGCGCGCACTGACACACTGCTTCTCCAGCCATGCTGAGGCCGGGTCCCACATACAGCAACTAGAAGGATGTGCAGCTATGACATAGAGCTATCTACTGGGGCTTTGGGGGAAAAAATAAATAAATAAAATTATTAAAAAAAAAAAAAAGTTTTTTCCAGCTTCTGAGTCTGAGCCCAGCCCGACTAGGGCCACATGCATTAACAAAATTCCATCTCATTTGTCACTTAACCATTGAAAGATAAGACCTTTCATGATCTGGCCCATGCCCACCTTTCCAGCCTCATCTGGATTAAGAAGCCCAGCCATCAAGCAGGGTGACCAGGTGGCAGCCCCAGTCACTCTTGCCACTTTCCCTGAGGAAAGCATTGAGTAAGGGCATACCCAGGAGAAGGCAGCTCTGCACACTGGAGGGCGGGACGTTGGAGTCAGCCCTGGATTTAAATTGCACACCAACCACCTATCAGCTTGTGATTTGGGGCCACATTGTCAAACTCTCTGAGCCTTGTGTCCTACTCTGTAAAATGGTGATAATAATGACCACCACCTCCTATGGCTTTTGTGAGGCCTGAAGGAGGTAAGAACTAGCACTTAGCACAGTGCCCTGCATGTAGTTGGCATTTAACCACATGTGAGTTCTCCTTCTACCTCCCACACTCATGCTGTAGAAGTCACTTATTGCATCCTCTGTGCCCACAAACTCATTGCCAGACTTGGGATCACGATGAAAGTGTTTCTGGGCAATCTGAAAGTGGGAATCTGCTAAGCCATGAGGCCTGCAGGGGCTCTAGGCAGCCCAACGGGTAAGAGTGAGCAATATACCCAGAGAAGGAAGGAAGTTTTCACACTGGAGGAAGGAGGGCTTGTGGTTACAAGCATCGGAGAGTGATTCAGCACCCAGAGGAAACCATGAGAGGCCTGTGAGTTGTCACCCAGGGCCTCCTTTTGAAAACCCTTTTGAGGTGAGAGAACAGTTGGAAGCCCCCTTCCACCACAAGCTAAGGAAGGGTGTATGGGGACCTCCTGGTGGGTGAAGGGATAATCAGATCCCACTTACTCAAGGCCAGTCATCCAGCACTCAGTCTTTGCTTCCAGCCCCGCCTCAGACACACCTGTTCCTGGAGAGGGGGGAGGAGTGACAGGGAACAGGAACAGGGAGTCCATGTGGCTGATCCCTAGACCTCTCTGGGGCACGTCCTCTGGGGTCAACGGAAATAGAGCAAGCAGGGAAATGTGAGCCCACTGGGGAGCTAAAGACACAGGCCCTGCCCTACACCAGTCTCCCTCCCCCACGCTGGGCCACATCAGAGATCTCCTAACTTTCTCTGGCCTCCAGACTCCAAGTGCAATAGCAGAAGCTTAACACTTGACCCTGAAAGGGGGGAGGTAGGGAGGGAGAGTCCCACGTGTTGAATACCTACTGTGTGCTCTCATCAGTCCTCACAAGAATGCTGGGAGACAGGAGTCCACCACCCTTTTTTTTTTTTAATCATAATTGTCCTCACTTCTGTTCACTTTGATTATTTTCTTTCTTTTTTTTTTTTTTTTCCTGCTAAAGAAGATTCACCATGAGCTAACATCTGTTGCCGATCTTCCTCTTTTTGTATGTGGGTCGCCACCACAGCACGGCCACTGACAGATGAGTGGTGTTAAGTCCACACCCAGGAACCGAACCCGGGCCGCAGAAGTGGAGTGTGCCGAACTTAACCACTAGGCCACCAGGGCTGGCCCAAGGGGTCAACCACTCTTAACAGATGAGGAGACTGAAGCTTAAAGAGGTGAACTGACTACAGAGGCTGTAGAGCATAATGGTTAAGCTCTTTTTTTGGCCTAAGGAGCTTTGACATTTGTTTGTCTGGATTTGAATCTAGGCTTTGCCATTATTAGCTGTCACCCTTGGCCAGTTACTTTCTCTCTGTGTGCCTCCATTTTCTCATCCTTAAAATGGGGATTAAAAATACATATTTCATAAAGTCATTGGATAATCAAGTGCATTAATATATGTAAAGTGCTTAGACAGGGACTGGTGCAAAGTAAGAATTCAGGAAATAATTGGCTCTTACTAAGGCTGTTCAGCAGATTTAAGCTGTGAGTAAAAACCAGAGACCCTAACTCTACTTTGGTCCAGCACCTTCCTTGCTCACTCATAACCCCTCTCTTTCTGAAGGCTGCTCACCTTTGCCCTCCCCTCACCCCAGAGCGGACCCCTTCTTGCCATCTACTCCAACCAGACAGAGTCTTCCCTGCACTTCCCAGGGCTAGGAGTCCCCAGAGGAAGGGCCTGCTCACAGGATGGCTGCTCACTCCCTGGACTCCAGATAGTGGGTGCCTGTGGTCCAAACTGGGGTGTGGGGGTCCAAACTAAAGTAGTGCCTGCTATTCATTCATTCATCAGATATTCGTTATGTACCAGACATTGGAGTAGGTACTGGACATGTGGTGGTGAACAAGAAGGACCCAGTCGCTGCCCTCATGGCACTTACAGTTTAGGGAGCAGCAACAACCATTATAAACAAGCAGTTAGTTACTTTGAAAGGAAACTTGGCCTCTAGGGTGACTTTGGACCTGGGAAGGCAGCATGTGATTCAGAGATGGGAGGAGGGTGCTCAGGAGTTCCAGCCTGGGATGGACTGACACTCTGCTCTGAGAGCGTGGCTAGACCCAGTCTGGGGGATGGGAGAGCCTCTGTGGGCCCCTGAATCTCTACTCTAGACGCAGAGGTTATTTCCAGGGTTGGTTTGTTTTGCAAACAGCACAGTAGAGCCTCCTCCTACACCCCCCCACCCCCCCCACCCCCTGCTTCCAGATCGAGGCTATTTATTCCTAGTGACAAGCCTGAGGATCCCAAGGGGGGTGGCCTCAAGGACCTGGAGGGGGCCTGTGTCCCTGGCAGGCGCCAGTCCTCCCTCCCAGGCACAGGGAGGAAGCCAGAGGGTTGGAAAATGTAGAGGTGGGGGAGGAGGGGTTCCCTCCACTTCCCTCCACCACCCCTGCAACACCCCATCCATACACACACACACTCCTCACACCCCTCCCTAAGAAGCCCAAAAATCATGGGGCCAAGGATTAGGGTGTCCCCTGGGCCTTAAAGGTCAAAACTATTCCTGGGCACGGTGGAAATGAGGCAGGACTTCTCTGTCCAAGGATGCAGCTGGAGGTGAGGAGGTGATTACTTCTGTTTGCCACTCAGAATTGTAGAATAAAGCCCTTTGAAGGTCAAGGCCCTATGGGAGGGAGAGGGGTCCTCTCTTCACTCTGTGTTTCCAGAGAACACCTTGGTCCCCATGACAGGGCCATGACAGTAGAGTCAAAACCACCCCCTCCTCCAGGCTGGATAAGGCCTCCTTTACAAACTCGGGCTGAGTGTGACCCCTGGGGGTAGAATGGGGGGTGGGGGCACGAAGAGGGCATGAGGACCCTCTGTTCTCAAATAGACCTTGGTCGGCTGGGTCCTGTACCCCTCGCCTGAAACGAATGCAGCAGTCTCCCGCTTGCAGCTGTGGGGGGAAGGGGGAGAGGGGAGGGAGAGAGGACGGCAAAAGCTGCAGGGAGGGAACAGGGGCGGGGTCCTGGCCGCCCAGGAAGGTTGGGAGAGCCAGGTTAGGCTGGACTGGAGGAGGGGGGCTGGGGCGGGCTCCAGTCTAAACGGGAGG